TAAGCACTTAAACTATATACCTTAGCCAACTCATACATATTGGCATGACCTTGCAATTGCCATAAATTTGTGATTTCAAAAGAAATTTCGGCGCTAGCCAGGTACTTGCAAGTCTTATAAGTTCTTGGCATAATTCTAATAAGTCAATTTTATAATAAGGTGTAGTATTAAGTTCCAGTTTAGTGTAAATTAAATTCTTAGGCACCATATAACCTGAAATTCAATTGTCTTATTCAACCCTCAATCTGAAAAATTAGAATCAACCATATAAATTAAATTTATTAGCCCTGGTATATTTTATCTTTTTCCTGATAGTCATATTTTCTATGTCGAACATTTAATTGACTTACTATCGTTCAGCTTTTAGCTGACGTGCCATTCTTTTAACGAGCAGGTGTGTTCGCCGCCAGACGCCATACTTCGCTTCAATGAGCAAGCGTACCTTCTCCGCCCTCCCAGCCCCGAGCTCTCTTATCGCCTATTCTACTGATTCTCGTCAATTAGCATTACTTGATGATGATTCTCATTCAAGAAGCCGCATGAAAAAGAAAAGAAGTAGGTGGTCGAATGATGACTCTTGCAAGACTTTCATCCCTGGCATGCCGACCCAGCTACCACCGAACCTTACGCCAGATCAAGAGAGAATTTACATACGTAGGTTATATTTCTCTTGTCACATTAACATAGTGCAGCTACAGGTTGAGGACCTAACTCGACGACTAAAGACAGGAGATTTAGGTGTACCAAAAAATCCCGATGACAGGTGAGATCTTATCTAGACTGACCCTCATAACACACTTAGCTCGCGTTACTCAAACAAATTTGTGACCCTAATAACTTTTATTACAGAGCCATCTTAATTAGTCTTAGTGTCGTTACAACTGGTTGTTAGGTTAGTATCGCATTCACCCTGATGACTAATTTGTTTTATCAGTTTGAAAGGTCCCGTAGATGAGATCCAAAAAGGAGTCACAATAGATAACTGGTAAGGCATGACAAGGGCCTTCGTTTTTGTCCCATCCCGTTTTGTATTCTAAGGCTCCTTGTGCTCAATTCCAGATCACCTTCGCCGGAGCCTATTTATAGCAACGATGGTAAACGTTTGAATACGCGAGAGTATCGGACACGGAAAAAAATGGAAGATGATAGACATGCACTTATCCAAAATTTGCGGGAATTGAAGCCGGAGTATCAGGCTCCAAATGATTATAAGTAAGTGCTCTGTCTAATCCTAAACATTTAGACCTCCCCAGAATCGTATCACGGATAAGGTGTGGATCCCACAAGAAGACAATCCTCACATAAATTTTGTTGGACTCTTAATTGGCCCTAGAGGAAATACTTTGAAAGCCCTAGAAAAAGATGTATGTGTTTATTCTCTAATGATCCTTAGACTAGCGCCAAGATCATTATCCGTGGCAAGGGTTCTGTTAAAGATGGGAAGGTCGGCAGGCGTGATGGCCTCCCGATGCCAGGAGAA